TCTAAGTGAAATTTTGTGCAAAATTTACAAAGTCACCGATGGGTTTCCTATTATTTTTATACTGATTAACATTTTGCATACTTTGTGATGTAGTTGATATGTTCTTAACATGATAAAGGACATGAAATTTTGTTCACCTTTTGGGCAACCAATAACCCTAAGAAGAAACTTCTTGCTCTTGAAGTTCCCAAACATAAGCAGTTGAATTACATTCGTAAGATTATAGCTGATGAAAATGTATAAAAGGAAATTGGTGATATGTTACCACACATGGGCTCTTTACCAACATATATGCCATAAATTAGTAGAGCTAGTGTTCAAAAATGCATTACAAATTTCATGTCATGTAATTTCATTAGCTACAATATTATTGATGCAATTGTCACACCGCGCACCACTAATGATTGGGAACTTAAAGGGGAGGAAGTTCGTCCTTGCGGTTACTATTTGATCCAAAAGGTGAATAAATATGCATATACTTATTTCTTATGTAAACAATATATTGATTGTATCATAAAGCATGTGAAATGTTAATTAGAAACAAAATAACATATGATTTGTTTATAATCAAGTGCGGGTTGATGACGCCAGAATAGGCCGGGATGTCTGTGATAGTATACAAAAGAGAGATGAATCAAGAAAGTTGTATTGAAAAGGATACATTTAATTTTTAAAGACATAGTTTGCGCACATGAACTAAAAAGGATTTTAGATATATTAGTGCCCTAGTTCCGTACTACAACCTAGAATTTTAGTCGAAACGGATTTGTTTGACCATATATTCCGGGAATAACAACACTAGAGGAAATTCTAGTATATTTATGAGGTAAATTACCTCATTCATGAATTTTTTGCATGAACTTCAGTAATTTGATATGAAAATTACATATTTATTTTATACATTTCCTTCGCGTAATGGTCTTATTAAAAGTGCTACTCTACCTTTTTTTTCTTCGTTAAAGACTCTTTTGCTCAAAATGTTAATTTTTCCACATTGGTAGGAGAAAGGAATTTTTAAATGATTAAATATATAAGAAATTATATGTTTTAAAGGGGTTAAGAAGATTTCAACTCTTGTTTTACCTCTGTCGGTTATTCGACTCAAGTTGGACTTTGGCAAATATATCCATTGAGAAATTTTTATTTTGGACAAAAAAAAACCACAATATTTCTCATGGCTGCATGAATTGAAGTGCGTACAACACATTAATGCACGGTAGTCAAGGTGTGCACTTGAATTGTTAACTGCACTTGGACATGTCTCACTGCACAGATACAACACAACCTAAAAAATGTAATTTTACACAAATTTTAATGCGACGAAGATCCTTCTAATGTTTACTACTAGGATTATAAGTATATCTACTTGATATACTAACAACATAAATTATATCAGGAGAAGTAAAGATCACCATAAGCATTACAGTCCCAATTATTTTAGCATATTTCATTTGAGAAACACTAGAATCTTTATACTATTACAAGTGAATGCTACGATATGAGGACATCTCCCTAAACTTCATCAAAATAAATAATTTTTTAAAACTAGATTTTAATGTAATGAGGCTGACACAAAGTGAAATCATCAACATTTCTTTTAATTTTGATTCCTCAAATTACATCTACTTCATAATGATTTCCATTTGAAACTTAGTAGACAAAAAGTTCTTATTTTTATCAATAACAGTCATTTTTGGACAAAAATTAACAAGTCATATACTTATAATCACACAATTTTGAACCTTTCATTTCCAAATAATCATAAGTATAAGACTAATTGACAAGAAAACCACTATCCACTAATGTGATATTAGACTTTTTATATTGCTGCTTAGAGTGTCTATTTTACTCCATAAAAGGACTTACTCAACTTGAATATTTATTTATCTTCTCCTGGAACCACAAAACCTTTGGGTTGAGTTAAATAGAACTATTTGTCTAGGTAACCATTTAAAAAAATTGTTTTGACATCCATCTTATCACTAAATCATAAATAGTGAAAAAATCAATAAGACTCCTAACGATCATTATTTTTGTAACAAGAGAATAAATATCAAAATAATCAACATCTTTCTTTTCGTTAGAACTCTTCATCAAAATTCTAGCCTTATATTTATTAATTGTAGCTTCGGGTCACAATTTCTTCTTATATGTCCACTTGCTACGTATGAATTTACAACCTTTAGCCAAATCAGACAAGTCCGATGTGTGATTCGAAACTATAAAGTTTAATTTAATTTTAACACCTTCTTTTCAAAATATCGCATATATTGATCTCATACTATAGAGTTTAATTCATTTTTAGTATCTTCTTTTCAAAATATCACATATGGTGATCTCATTGCCTCATCATAAGATTTAGATTCTATTTACTAGACAGACACTAAATCTTATACCAAAATTTTCAGTCAAAAATAAAGTGAAAAAATCATGACAAAGTTGTTGTCCATTCTACATCTTTTACTTCTTGTAAGTTCATTTAATTCTTTTTAGAAAAAACTTCATAAGAAGAAACAACATCAGGATCAAAAAACATAAATGTAGAAGCATCTATTTACATATCACTAAACACATTATTTTCAAAGGAAATTTGCTAAAAAATCAGCAACTCAAGATTCACAAATAGAAAAACTATTGGAAAAACACAAATCTATATGCAACACTCTTTTCACAAAACCAGTAATGACAATGTCAAAAGTGTTATAACCTACATTTACTCATTTAAAATCAGGTTGCCTTACCTTAGCCAAAGACATCAAAACATTTTGAAATTTCAAATTAGGAGAAAACCCTTTCTAAAACATATATCAGGTCTTGTCTAACGTTTTATGAGGGACCATTAAGAATATAACATGCAAATAGGAAAGCTTCCCCCTACATATTGTTTGATAGACTCGAGCTTAAAAGCATAGAATTTATCATTTCGTCAAGGGTTTTATATATTTGTTCAGCTACACCATTTTATTGGAATATAATGAGCACTAAGCTCATGTATAATATTATTTTTCTCACAAATATTCTCCACATTTTTCGTATTATATTTACTTCCCCTACCAGATCCAATAATCTCTTGATTTTTCTGTCTAATTTATTATCTACTTCAAATTTGAAGAACATACTTTCAACCTCATCTATAGATATCAGACTATATACCTTAGTGTATCTTTAAAATTAATACTTTTTACCACTTTTTCAAAAAGTACTCTTGAATTTTGTTGAATTTGAATATATTAGTTCACAAAATTGAATTTTTGTACTTATAATAGATTTCAAAGGTTTCCTTACATGTTTTTCTTGTACATATACAAGATTTTTGAAAAATCATCAATGTTTATCATAGAAATTAATTCTATTTTTCTATGTATTTTGATAGAAGCAATACTAAAATGACATACTCTACCATAACACAAATTAATGGACTTAACAATATATGCAGAATTTTAAATACTAGCATTATTGATAATCTATTGAACATTGTTCAACACAAATAATTCTCCACTAAGATATCCCTTCCCAATAAACTCTCCTACCTGAGAAATATTTATTTTATCACCTTTAAATATATTTAAAGGCCTACTTTATTAAGAAGTACTCCAAAAACTATGTGTCTGCAGGTAAAGTACATACAAAAAATTATTCAAGGCTAAAGTTTTTTTTGCAGTTAAATTATGTAAAAAAAATCCTTTATCAAATATTCATGTAGTAGATAACCCATGTAAACACAATTGTCATTAGTTGACTCCTCAAACTCATGGAATAACTCTTTGTTGACACAAAAATGTATGGAAGGGTCTGTGTCCAACACCAATTAATATTGTTAGCCACTAGAAAAACTACAATAATAATCACTTCATGTGCCTCACAAAGATGAGCGTTACCATCAACTTGTCTTTCTTACCGTAAGTTCTATCCTTGACTTACTTATCAGTGGCTAGCATTATGACTAAGTTTTTCAGATACAAAGAAAGGATCCTTAGATTTTTGAATTTGAATCTTCAACTTGTTAAAGTAATTCTTTTTCTTTATATGACCCTTTTTTATAAAATTCTTCAGTTTGCCTTTAAGCATGTCATTCATAGCATTACAAGAAAATTCAATAAGAATCTGTGGAAGAATTAAGTAAAAACCTTTCATCTTATTTTTTAGATAGTTCGCCTCTTCAGTTCTTATGTGACCAATAAGTTCTTGGGGAGATGATTTTATTTCCTTATATTTCAGTTGAAATCTTAATTACTCCAAGTTTATGGTCATTTTTCAAGAACAACAAATTAGCATAAAAAGTCTCAAACATCTTCATACCCTGCTGAGAACATTAACAATCAAGTTCCCATATTCACAATTTTTTTCCATGATTAGCTTGTTGTCACCGTTTAAAACTTAATCCATTGACCACCATATTTTAATGCATCATCAACTGTATATTTTTTCTCGAACTAACATATATTTTCTAAGAAAATATTTTATTAAGAAATAAATCAAATCAATGATAAGTAATTGGTTAAAAATCGTCATTACAGGGTTTGTTAAACAAAATATAATCAACTTCAAAATCATCAAATAAACTAAGATGTTTATGTTACCAGCGTTTAAAATATTTACATCCAAATACTCAAGCTTTGAAAGATAAGAAAAAAATTTATCCAACGAAATAGCCATTTATAAATATTGTATTTGAAAATTGCTTTCAGATTATAAGGGAAATAATACAATATTGATATCAGACAAGAATTAAAATAGTAAGTGAATTGTGACAAACAATACGTAATGACAAGTCACTGCCATGAAAGTAATTTTGGCCTGACTTTGATGTTAATAGTTAAGTCCAGTCACTATCCAAGCTTCTACAGATCTTCCAAACACGTGTACTCGTGGTTGGAAGTTTGGAGTTGCACAAAAATAGTAGTCTAAATATTCACAATAGGAAGAAAAATATTTCAGACAATACATGAATAGGTGAAAGAGATTAAATGGAAGAGAGATTTTTGTTTCTCTTCTATATATTTAGTTCACAAATGATACTCCTTAAATAGGAAGAACATTTATGTTTTCATCAATCATAAGAATGTAAGTAGTTAAAGTAAAATTAATGAACTGAAATATTACTTTTTTTTATGAACATTTTTTCATAATTCAAAGTAATTTTGAGTTTTCTCAATAGTTTCAATATTTTCTTACGAAGTTAAAAAATACTATCACTTGAATAAATGTGAACCATATACAAGGAAGTATCTCTCCTATTGCACATCAATTTTGGACTTAAATGTTCACATCGATTAATGACGGAGAATTCTTAGATGTTATTATCCTTTGAATTAAATAAAAAAGTAATAAAATCTACATACCGGAGTCACCAGAACAGCTGTTGGAACCAAGAATAGCTCTATAGGGAAAAAGGTTCTGAAGAACGTAAGCAAAGCTTCTAAGAATCATTATTGATATAAGGGTGTTCAAAGAACTAGTCTCCATGAAATCATGGTCTTCTACCTTAATGCAGCCTCCAAAACTTCCAGATGATAACTACACAATAAAATCAACAAATATATTACATAATTATTACTCTATCAAGTACAGGCTCCTACTTGTAGGAGTTGATTACACTAGAGAATACAAGTCATAGATTGATTACAAGAGTCCTAGGTATACTTCAAATAAAATACTAAAAATTATTGTTAAATACAAGTAGGCCCTGACTACTAATAAATAAATACAAATTAGTGTTTTTTTAAACTAAAATAGGCTCCAAAATAAAATAAAACAATACAAACGCATGTCATTTTGGCTTTGGATCTATTTTTAGTAACAAAATTACTCGAAATACCATACTCATTTGTTTATTTTTAAATATTTTTCCAATGGTAGGAACAATAGTGACAAAATAATTATAACTCATCACCTTATAAATCATGAATTTAAAAGGAGTTGGTACCTCCATGAATGATGCAAAGTGAAATACTACTTAAATTTACACTAAAAGGAAATATTGAAGCGTGTCGACTTGATTTAAATTGAGTTTCTCATATAGTTAGGAAAGTAAAATCAAGGTAAATAGTTAGTAGATTTTGAGTTAATACAAGTCATTCAATTAAAATTCCAACCAATTACCAGCATGCATCAAGCTAACTAACCAAAAGATAAGTAGAATATTGACGGAAATAATATGTTTGACAAAATACTATTTGTATCTTTTTTTTTTGTATTAAAAATGCAAAGAAATTTTTATTCCAACTCGAAATGTATATCAAACTAGGAAAAAAAGAAACTAACCATTAGACTTAACCAATTCCTTTTTAATTTTTAAACTTAGAAGATAACTTACTACATGACATGTAACATACTAAAAAATAGCAGATCTCGTCAAAAATCAAATAAAGGATCTTGGTGAAATATAACTTTAAGGAGCAATGAATTGAGACGAGAAGATAAGTATTGTACAGATTTGAAATTGAAAAAACAAAAGAAAATGATTGAGAAGTAACCTTTTAATTATCTTCTGCATCTGATGGCAATGATTGAAAAATGATTGTTTGCTTTGAGAAAAACTTGTACAACATAGATATTTTACAATTGAAGAGCTTTAACACAGGGGAATATTTTTCGCTACATGTCTCCTTAAGTACAAACAATTTAGGCTTCATTTATAACCAACAAATTGACGCCTAAAGAATATTTTAAAAGAAAAGAAGGGGAGATAATGTCAACAAAATTGGGGATCCAAAATTTGAAATGTTGATCTTTGAAGAGATAAATTAAGAAAAATAGGAGAAAAAATATCTTGAACAAAAGGTGACATGGGTGGGGGTATATTCCCCTAGAATAATTTTAGGGACATGGTGACGTTTTTTAGGTAGAAAACATTATGGATTGAGCTCAAAATCCGGTTAAGTTTTGGGGGGTTTGCATTTGCAAAGACAGGGGCTGCTAGGGTTTCCAGTTCATTTGGGAAAAAAAGAAATGATAAGGAAAAGAAAAAGAATAGAGATATTTATTTGAGGGGTTTGGGACCGGGTTATACAAATGATAGTGTTTGATTGGATAATATTTGGGCTGAAAGTGGGTGTGAAGAAACAAGACATTTGTACTTTAGCAAAATACATTTGCTTGAAATAATTCAAAATTGATAAAATTGCTAATGAGATAAATTATATCTAATAATTTATCAAACTTATTAACATTTTAACAATTAATAATTATCTTGAAGCAAAGACCTGTTATGTTGAATAACAAAAGGAGAATAAGGAAAAGAAAAATAAGCAGAAAAAGATTAAGGAGAAGAAGGGTGAGTAGGAGGAGGAGAAGAAAAAGACGACGAACAAGAAGAAGATGACGATGAAGAAGGAGGAGGGGGATGGGAAGGGGAAGAATTAGAACAAGAGGAACAAGAAAAATACGAGAAGGAGTAGAATAATGATGAGGAATAGGAAAAGGAAGAGAAAGATGAAGTGGAAGTGGAAGAGGAAGAGGAGGAAGGGAGAGTGAGGAGGAGGAGAATAGATTCTATATGTTCATAACAATACAGAATTATTCAATACATTTTTGAGGTACTTTTACCCGATAAATAATAAAATATCCTAGAAATTAAATAAAAAACATTTTGAATTTTAAGAAACAATTATTCTACTTTGTTTGGAGCTAAAGAAGCCTGAAGAATTAATCAACCCTCTCCTTTTTAGCTAGGGATTATAGAAAAGGGTTAGGGCCAAAAGTAGGTCATGACCCCAAATACACCCTAGACATGAAATGACATACAAGACCCCGCAAGGTCTTGCAAAACTCATTGAGCATACTTCATCAAAGATAATACAACAAAGAGTTTTAAAGGTGGTATTTCAAATAAAAGAGTTTTACAAAATGTAGCAGAAGTCTAACATAAGTTTCAAAGACATATATTACATCATAAGGGAGTGATTGGGACGTAAACCATAAATTACATACAAAATCTGAAAAAAAATACATGATAGCAATAGAATAATCTCTGTCCTCAATATATGAGGATTCTTCACCTTAAGGTAAAAGTACTCGTATTGAAATGTAACTGTTGCAACAAATAGGAGAATCATAGTAGTTTAGTTGGTTGACTACCTAAACCCTCTTCTTATAGGTAGGATTCAATTCCCCACATTGTAATATTCACCATTCATAGTCTCTCATCACCTTCAAGTACCAAAGGGTAACAAGAAATTGTCGATTGAGTAAACTACCATAAATAGTATAATTTCATTCTATTTATATATAAAATAAATCTAAATATAGACAAAGTGATATGACACCTCTCTATGGCCTCCATTTATATTTATCCTTTTTTTCCTTTTTTTAATATTTTCCTTCTTTTTCTAACAAACAATTATGCATTTAATAATTAAATAAATCAACATATTTGCTATATCCAATTGTGTTTTATGAGTTACTAAAAAATTCTATCTATTTGCATTCTCTACTTAAATACCATGTAGACTGACCAACCTCCTTTTACCAAATTTTTCATGATTTAATCCATCTACAAAATAACAATCTTCCATAAAGTTGTTATCTACTAATTTTTATTTTCTCCTATTTTTTAATCAATATATATTCTTCCTTTTAATGTTTTCTTTTTTTGAAATTTGGTTAATCAACATATGGTTAATAATCATTTCGAAAAAGTGATGTGACAATTTATAAGCAGTTTGATAAAGATTATAGATATATTCTTCAAAATTTTATTTGTTGCCAAGCAAAAGTTCATCATATGAAAAGAAAATTCGATTGTAGTAAATTAATCAAAGAAAAATTATCCGAGCTCTTTGATTCTGTTTCATCAGAAAATGTTCAATACGGTGGCCAAAATCATCAAGAGAGTTAGTCAAATTAGTTTGATAAACTAAAAGTTTTAATACTATATATGTACATACACATTTTTTGTACTTATTCTAGTACCCGTTAGATAGCTATATGTCCACCTGTGCTAGATGTTGTTACAAATTTTTGGGAACATTCTACTAGTCATAACATTGATGGACTGCAATTTTAGTGGATGTAGCTTGGATTATTCTGCCACCCGCATGCTACTTTATGCAAGAGATCATATTTTGCTAGAATGTTTTTATGCTTTCAACTATGATATTCACATGTTTCTTGAAAAATCTTACGCTACTCTTTAATGGCCCAACAAGTGGAAAAATCTTAGCAGCATATGTAGGTAAAATGGTTTTGATCGGAGGCTAAGCTTGTGAAGGTCAACAATGCTGGTAGGAAAGAGAGTCAAGCAATTTAGAATAAACGGTAACTTATATAAACTTCACTAGTCTAGGATTTAATTAGTTGCTTAGATTCGTTTACAATATTATGAATTATGAGACATTGATGCGTCCAAATATGTTAAGATGCATGTACATCACGATACATGAGGTAAAATTAGCGGTAATTTGTTATAGATTATATTCAACTATGGATTGCATGTACATAGGATATATAGGCAAACCTTGATCATCTCCGTTGCTTTCCTCACATATCGATCATCACACTCCATTGTATCTTGTATCCTATGAGACATGTGAAGATATAGTGTAATTCAAATGTATGTGGGAGTTATAGAAATCATTTGTTGCCTGATATATCTTGCGCTGAAATATGTGATGAAATTATTAATTAATCATATAAATATTAGTATTTCAAACTATAAAAAGAACTAGTAAATATGTTTTAGAAATTGTGTAGTTAGGTAGTTTTTCCTTGATTGAAGGAGAAGTTAGGAAGAATTAAGTCATCATTGATCTATTTTAGGCTATTTTAATGAGTAATGCATCTCAATACCTTTAACTCTAAATTTGGTACATTATACATGAATCTGAAAACATATTTGGAACACACCAAAATTCGGTAAAGTTCTTAATTTGCAAATTAGTATATCTCGATAACGAGGCTCAAAATTAAATAGGTTAACTAGATCCTGTCATGTGTTTAAAGAGTTATTAAATAGTTAATGATGTGTTAAAATGATGAATAATGTCTTAAGGGGTAATTCCTTAAGAGTTTGTATGTTGAACGTCCAAGACGTTTGGAAGCTAGCCTTGTATGTGCTAGTGTGCCTTTGTATGTTTTATGTGTTGTTTGGTATTAAAAATTATAGGGGAGGGTCCTAAGACCTAGATGATCATGCTTATCGTAGAAACATCCGGGTACGACTCCCGAAGACCACCCTAAGGGTCCTTAATAAGGACCCAAACCCTAGCAAGAAAACAACCAAAGATTGTCCAACAACGACCCCTTATTGATGCTACTTATGTCAATCCACACCCCGTCCGTTTGGGGGAATACCTCAACACTTAGTGGTGGGATCTTATCCCCTAGAATTTGACTTTCCAAACGACGCCTAGCAGGATGGGCCGTTGTTCAAATGATGCACACTAGTTTGAGTACGTCGTTTGGAGCCTCCAACGCTGTCAATATTTTCTACAAGCTTATAATTAGGGGTGAATTGGGAAATTCATCCCATGTCCTAATTAACTAGTAATAGGTTGTTTTAGGGTTTTTTTTAGTCATTTAAGTTAGTTTATACCCCTAATATGTAAGTTAGACTTCAATTTTCAAAATCATAACCCCTCTCTTAAGACACCATCGAAGCTTGAACTCAATGAAGAGCTAGGATTGAAGATTTTGAGTGGTTTCTGCACCAAATCCTTTCAGTTTTTTCCTAGTAAGGTATTCTAGTTCATCCTTTATTCTTCTTTCATTCAAGGAGCCAATCCAAAGGCTTTTCAAAAAGGTTTTAAATTCTTAAATTCTTATATTTTGAATTCTAAGCATGGGTCTTTGCATGAAAGGTTTTAATAGATGGATTATTATGTTTTCAATATAAAGTGATGGTTTTATGATAAAAAACACAATGACCACATGAACATGCCAATTATTTAAATTAGAATTATGAAGTGGGTTTAATGTATATGAATAGACAATGTTAGAGTTTTGTTATTATTATGTTGTATTGTGATTATCTACTTCCATTTATGCCTTATTATGATGATTTATTTGATAATATAGAATAGGTGATCATGTCTTGGATGACGGGTAAGTTTATCTATGTTGTTTAGTTCTTATTGAATTAATCTTGAGTGGTGTGGTCCACTTATTGTGGCGGTGTTTACTTGATGTATATGATTATATATGTGAATTGTGATTATGGATTTGAAGGCATTGAATATGAAGTAAAGTGATGTTATGATGTATATGGATGAGATGTCTTATGAAGTTGAGAATATGTGTCTTGAAGATGCCATGTCTAAATGAAGTACAATGTGAATACGAAGCATGATAGTGTTTGAATTATGATTTATGTAGTATAATAATGCTTAAATTCAGTGTTATGAATATGGTGGTTATGTGAAGAATGCTGTCACATCTACTCACATGCACACACTTTGAATGAATGAATGATGTTAATGAATGAAAATGGGGGATTCTAAGGTAGACACTATTCGTGAGTAGAGATGAAGTGTCTAGTACCAACCCTACTATTCCTAAGAACTCTAGTGAATGAAAAAGGGGGAGTTTGCGGTGGACACTCTTCGTGAGTTGAGATGCAGTGTTTAGTAGCAACCTCAGTATTCCCAAGAGCTTTCCAAAGAATGGTTGGGGGTTGGATACTCTTTGTGAGTTGAGATGTAGTATAAAAAAGTAATCTCTAGAGATTAGTTATATTCATGAGTTAAGATGCAGTATTTAATAAATTTCATAACCTATAGTTAATGAATGTCTAAGACTTAATCGAGGAGTCATGCTCAACAACGAGAGGATTTGAAGAAGGGGTGGATACTCTTTGTGAGCAGAGATGTCGTATCCAATGTACCTCTAGAGATGATTACTCTCGTTAATTGAGATGTATATACTTAGAAGAAATCTCCTTATCCCTTAAGTATGCGCCCACATATGTTTATCTATAGGAGATCCAAGTAAAGGCTAATAGAATGACCCTACTTTAGGCAAGTGGGGATCCCTCATCCGGTAGAGGTTATTACCGAGATTCCATGTCTAGTTTTCATGGTCTATGTAGGTTAAAGCTAGCCCCAATAAATGAATGTAATGAACTCACTCTTTTTAAGAGTTTACTACTTAGGGTAGTGGTGGAA